ATAAATGTCTCTAAGTTAGGATCCTGGTATCTGGACAACAAAGGTGTCTTTTCAATAAAGCTGAATGCCTGTAATATTAAAGTGGTATTCCATACTCTAGCTTTTTTAGCTCATTCTTTTTGTTTTACAAAGAAGGGCAAAACCCAGGAAACACACCTTCAGCCCTAAATGATGGCAAAGCTAAAATAGCCCCAGGTGATGGCTACCAACACTTGATGGTGGGGCGAGAGCGGATGTGCCTTAGCCTCATTGCGTAGCTTTGCATCCACGAAAATGAATACATTGAAAGATCAGATATGGAGGATGTCCTAAACTAAAATAAAGAGTTGGAAAGCACATACTCTAAAAAAAAAACCCTGCAGCCTCTGTGCATTGCCAGTGCCCAGAGGAGTGCATGGCGTGAAAAGGTGCGTGGGGAATGGGTGTTGTTGAAACAGTGAATGACAAGGACTTGGGTAAACACCCTCTGTGTATTATCCCCAATACTTAAAGCAAAAAGGGTAGGATTATTGTCTACACTCTACAGAAACCAAAACTCAGACTGGTGGAATAACCCGCCCCTGTGGTAGAACCACAACACCCAGCTCTCCGGCTCTAATGCCTTCCTTTCCCATGGTGCCATGCTGCGGGATGGGTTGGAATTCATCTCAAGGACATGCTGAGTACCAGAGGTAGACTGCCAGATTCGGTTACAGAGAGACCCGGAGGGCACAGCCTCTTCTGCTTTCCAGTGGGTTTCCTTCTTAGAGGATGGCTTTTTCATTTTCCTGAGTTTAAAAGAAATAGATCCTCATTGAAATTTTTCAGGCAGTTCAGGAGCGCCTGGGCGGCTCAGTCAGTTAAGCCTCCGACTCCTGATTTCGGCTCAGGTCATCATCTCACGGTGGTGAGAGCGGTCAGATAGAGCCCCTGCCTAGCTCAGCGTGGGGCAAGGAGCCTGTGCATCTTGCTCTCTCTCTCAAAAAAGTTTTTTTTCAGGCAATTCAGAAAGACATTTTTTAAGTTTATTTTGAGAGAGACAGAGAGAGAGAGAGAGAGAGAGAGAGACACAGAGAGAGAGAATCCCAAGCAGGTGCTTCACCATTGGTGCAGAGCCGTATTTGGAGCTCAAACTCACAGACCATGAGGTCAGGACCTGAGCCGACATCTAGAGTCAGGCGCTTAACCAACTGAGCCACCCAGGTGCCCAACATTGAATTGAATTTTATTTGAGAGAGAGCCTGCACGAATGGAGGAGAGGGGTAGCAGGAGAGAGAGAGTCTTGAGCAGGCTCGATGCTCAGTGTGAGCCCCACGCAGTTCTCAGTCCCACAACCCTGGGATCATGACCCGAGCAGAAATCAAGAGTCAGACCCTAAACCCACTGGGCCACCCAGGCACCTCCAGAAAGACATTTTTTAAAATTTCTTTTTAATGTTTGTTTCCGAGAGAGAGACAGAGTATGAGCAGAGAAGGGACAGAGAGAGGGAGACAGAGAACCCGAAGCAGGCTCCACGCTGTCAGCGCAAAACCCGAGGTGAGGCTCAAACCCACGAACTGTGAGATCGTGACCCGAGCCGAAGTCGGACACTAAACCGACTGAGCCACCCAGGCGCCCCTAGGAGCACACTTTTATTTTTTATTTTTTTCAACATTTATTTATTTTTGGGACAGAGAGAGACAGAGCATGAACGGGGGGCTCGAACTCACGGACCGTGAGATCGTGACCTGGCTGAAGTCGGACGCTTAACCGACTGCGCCACCCAGGCACCCCAGGAGCACACTTTTAAAACATGAGAATGTCCTCTAATCCCACCGTGTGGAGTTAATATTGTGCTGTATAACCTTCCAGGCGTTTTCCCTGTGTGTGATTGTGTATACTTTGTCGGTTCACAAGGCGGGACCTCTTTTGAAAGCCTGAGGCTGCACCCCGCAGACCTGCCTCCATCTGTCCTAAGAGCACAACAAAAGTTCACACGTGCTTTCCGGCACTCCCAACCTCACTGTCCTTGTGTAATGTCACAAGAAGATCGCCATCCCCTACCACCACCCCTGCCTCGGGACAGGTTAGGTGTTTCCACTGCAATAAAATGACCTGTACACTTTGGGCATGGGGGAATGTTCTCTATTTAAAAATTGACATACACGATTCTTACTCTGGCTTACTCTCTGCCCCCCGCCCCCGTGGCAGATTAAAGGCACCTGCTACAGGCGTAGTGTAAAATTATGGCCGTGGGGATCTATGTAGGGCTTAACTAGGTGTGGGGCTTTTCTAGTATGCAGCATAGATCAAATCGGTCTTTGGATGCATAAAGTAAATTGTGATTTTGGGGTTTTACCTGGCCGAAATAAGTATGTTTATTGTTTTCCCCTGGCTGTCCTCTTTAATTACAGTGTTTTTATGGAACCACAGCAGGTGGCACTTATTCATGTGATTCACGCCCACGGAGGGATGGTAAAGTCTGGTCCCAGAAGCCGGCCCGGCCTTAGCAAGAAGGTGCTGTGGGGGCTGCACGTCAGGCCGAGACAAACAAAGGGCGGGCTACCTGCTGGACAGCATCTGATGTCCAAAAGGTGGGGAGATTTACGATCTCAAGTTCTGGACCAGACTGCCTAGGTTTCCATCCGCGATTCACTCCTCACTAGCTGGTATGAAATGGGGATGGTAATAGCACAGTGTGGTGGCGAATGTTAAAAGGGCCAATAAGTCAAGAACTTGCAGCGGTAGCCGGGTGTGGCCAACATTCAGCCGCTGTTGGGTGGGATGATGGTGCTAATTTTCCTCACCTCGTGCCCTACCCCCTGGCGTCATCGGGAACACAAGGAGCACATGCCCGCAGTTCTTTAGTTCCATTGCATTGTTTAATCCTGACAACAGCTCTGGAAATATCCTTAACATACTCCTAACCCCTCTTTCAGGTAAGAAAGCTGGGATTCAGAGAGATCAAACTTGTTTAGCATCCCAACACCTAGAGAGTCCTTTCTGTAGAGTAATAAGAAAGGGAGCACTTATGTTTTTTCGAGCGCCTCACTTCCTGTGTGCTCACCTAACACACGGAAAGCCACTAAATTCCGTCCAAATATTTATGGCACCCAGCGCTGGTGAGGGTGTGCAGAAACATTCTCTCCGGCACAGCTTCTGTCAAAAAACGGGTGACGTCTCTGCCCTTCACCCCAAGAGCTTCAACAGAAGGGATTTCCCACCCACATAACCATTGGAATAAACACTATGCCAAGATAAAAGTACCATGACAGTCATGACCACATTGTAACGCCGAAGTGTGATACCAAAAGAAAAGTCTCTCCGTACGGAACTAGGCAAAGCCTGGTCTACGAATAAAGAGGTATCACGTCACTTTTCTTTATTTTATTTATTTATTTATTTATTTTTTCTTTAAAAAATGTTTTTTTTCAATGTTTTTATTTATTTTTGGGACAGAGAGAGACAGAGCATGAACGGGGGAGGGGCAGAGAGAGAGGGAGACACAGAATCGGAAGCAGGCTCCAGGCTCCGGGCCATCAGCCCAGAGCCCAACGCGGGGCTCCAACTCATGGACCGCGAGATCGTGACCTGGCTGAAGTCGGACGCTTAACCGACTGTGCCACCCAGGCGCCCCTATTTTATTTATTTTTTAATTTCAATGTCTTATTTAAGTTCTAGCCCGTCAGCATATATGGTAAAATCAGTTTCGCTGTAGAATTTAGTGATTCATCACCTACACGTAATACCCAGCGCTCCTCGTAACAAGTTCCCTCCTCAACATCCATCATCCATTTAGCCCATCCCCACCCTCCTCCCTCTGTCAACATTCAGTTTGTTCTCTGTTGTCTTTTATGGTTTGTTTCCCTCTCTCTTTTTTTCCTTCCCCTATGTATATCTGTTTTGTTTCTTCAATTCCACGTACGAGGGAAATCCTATGGTATTTGTCTTTCTCTGACCCAGTTTGCTTAGCACAATACCCTCTAGCTCCATCCACGTCATGGCCAGTAGCAAGATGTCATTCTTTTTGATGGCTGAGTAATATTCCAGTGTGTGTGTGTGTGTGTGTGTGTGTGTGTGTGTGTGTGTGTACGTTTATCAGTTGATGGACATTTGGGCTCTCTCCATAGTTTGGCTATTGTTGATAATGCTGCTACAAACTTCGGGGTGCAGGTGCCCTTTCAAATCTGTGTTTTTGTATCCTTTGGGTAAATACCTACTAGTGCAATTGCTGGGTCATAGGGTAGCTCTATTTTTAACTTTTGGAGGAACCTCCATACTGTTCTCCAGAGTGGCCGCACCAGGTTGCATTCCCACCAACAGTGTAAGAGGGTTCCCCTTTCTCTGCATCCTTGCCAACATGTGTTGTTTCCTGCGTTTTCGTTTCAGCCAGAGGTACTGTATAGCTTTGAAAAGAATGCAACGGACAGATAGAGAAGGTATCCAAGATAATGTGTCTTCAGTGTCATTATAATTGTGTATCCGCTCTAAGTTCAAAGAACAGAAACGTCCGTATGGACAGAAGCAGCCAAGGGTCACTTCTGAGAGAACGTGAGAGGTGATTTGGGTCTCAAATACGGAATGGAATTATTTTGGCCGGGCTGGCGAAAAGAAGAAAGTCTGTTAGAGTTGAAAGCCCATGGACCAGGGAATAACGTTGTGTAGTGAAGAGACACCTGGTTTTAGAGTTCAAACCCCTGGCTTTGGAGCGGCCTGAGGCAGGGCCTCCTAGAAAATATGGTAGGCTGTACATGGAAACATCCAGATTGGCAGAGAAAAGGGGATACATCCCCAGGAGACTACAGACTGGCCTACTGGGAGGAGAGATTTCTTTTGAAGTCTCAAGTTCCTTACCTCTGAATCTGGCTAATGAACACCAAATTGTTTCATTGTGACTGACAAATTAGGACGGTTGGACTGAATTGAAGAGAGCTAGGACCGGAGATCGGGTTCCCATCAGACAATTCTTGTTTCAGACAATTCTCTTGTTATAGATAATTTCTCGTTTCTTTCTTAGAGACATGGTTTTTCAACGACCTGGGCTCACATCATTATATGGACATAAATGGTGGAAAGGACTAAGAATCAAGAGCTATTTTAACAGATAGTTGAACATATTTGTCAAAGCCAATGATTTTTATTCATTTCTATTTGTTTATATATGTGTGTGTGTGTGTATACACATATATATACACATACACATATTTTTTAAATTTTACAAGGTGACTAATTTTCAAGAAGTGAACTCAGTGATTGGCCTACATGTCCTCAGAAAGTCCCACTGCTTCTCCAATTATCTCATCTGTTTCGGGGTCCCATGTGAAACATCATTGGAAAGATCATGGCTGAAAAAATAAAAATAAAAAGGCACAGCTTGAGATGCTAGCTAATACAGATCCTCCTTGACTTATGAGAGGGTTACCTCCTGATAAAACCATCGTAAATTTAAAATATCCTGAGTCAAAAATGCATTTCATCCACCTAGACATCATAGCTTAGCCTAGCCCACCTTATGCGTACTCGGGATACTTAACGTTAGCCTACGGTTGGGCAAAATCATCTAACACAAAGCCGGTTTTATAAAAAAGTGCCGCATGCAACTGACTGAATAGTGAACTGAACGTGCACAACAGAACAGTCGTAGGGGTATAGAACAGTTGTACGTCAGTTGCTGGTGACCGGGAGCCACAGCCCGTCGCCACTGCCCAGCATCGGGAGAGAGTACTGTTGACGTATTGCTAGCCCTGGAAAAGATCCAAATGCAAAACTCGAAATACAGCCTCTACTGAATACATATTGCATTCACACCAACGTAAAGTTGAAAAGCTGTAAGTCGAACCATCATACGTCAGGGGCCGTCTGTAATCCCTAGGCCAGGGTCCCCTACCTAGAGCAGGTAAAAACAGTGAATGGCAGCATCTGGTGTCGCGTGGGTCATTTAAGGCTCCAAAAGAGCTTTTCCTCCCAGATGTAACTTGAGATTGAAGAAACAGGGCACCCTTACAACTAACCAAGTTACTGATAAACGTATTTATTAGTAAAGAACTTTCTAAGTACAAAATTGCACTAAGACGCATAAATGCCTTCACTAAAATGCATAAAAACCCACATCTAGGACAGTAGCTTGGAGAACGAACAGAGACAGCACTGGGAAGAGAATGGACTCTGGCAGGCCACTACGTCACAAGCCATGGGACCTCAGACCAATTACGATAGCATTCGGACGCCGAGTTTTCTCAACCACAAGACGCAGAAAATAATGCCCATTTCATGGGTCCGCCGTAAGCCTTTGCCATAATCTATTTATAGCGCCTGACGCAGAGTAGGTTTCAAAAAACAGTGGTCATTGTTAGCCAAGTCGCTTCACTCCGAGCATGGCTTCCTTGACTATACAAGGAAGCCAGTGATTCCTACTAGGAGAATAGATATGAAAAGGATTTCTGAGCTTTAAAGTTCTCTAAAGAGTTAAGATTATTATCAATAATTGGGACATCAACATATAAAGCATTAACTAATACAGAGTTAAATAAAAATGAGGGACTTCTATCTCAAAATATGGTAGGCTGATAACATGTAAACCTTCCCATCAAAGCCACATAAAATGCTGGGTCAAAAATATCAAGGCTCTCAGATCTATAGCTGACCTTGCATGTAAATAAGGAAACTCCCCCAGAGAGTGGCTGAAGATAAGGCTGTTCCAGGATCAACTTTTGTTCTCTTTGTCCAAGGCAAAACCACATGGGAACAGGAGACAATGATCTCTTGAGCCACACAAGGTGGAGTGATGATGAATCCAAGACTCCTGCATAAATCCAGGAACATTGAAATTCTATGCTCAGTGGAGAAGAGCAAGAAAAAAGAAATCTACCTACCAACAGAGGAGGCATAAAACAATACTTGCACATGTCATCTAGGGTCCTTTGAGGGAAAAAAAGTCTCCTCTGAGAATTCATAACCCCAACCTCATGTGGATTTGGGACGCATGTTTACCCTGTCTGTATCGTTTCAGAAACTCCAAAAGAGAAAGTGAACATAAAATGGCCCCACATGGATGGCAAACTCAAGCTCGTAGCAGATGCTAAAAGAAACCATATCTGGAGGGACAGTTATTCAACACAGACCTCCCGGGAATCCCACAGATGATGCTAAGCTGAGCATAAACTTGAAAGTGAAAAGTATAAGGAGCGGAGAAAATAAGGCAAGCGTCAGAAAAAAGTGAAAAGAGCTCAGCTAGGTGCCTCAGAATGGAGATAACACAGTTGTTGGTCACAAAATTTATAAAAATAAAGTAGGAGGTGGGCCGCTTCAGTCAGAGTGTGAGGGAAGCTTCCCCAAGGGAGGTGACGACGAGGCTGCCGTCTGAAGGCTGAAAACAAGTCAACGGTCGGCCCATCTGGAAGCCGGACCACGAGAGGAAAAGCCTTCCTGCCGGACCAAACCTGGATCTGTGTGAGGAAGGGCACCAAGGCCAGAATGGCTGGAGCAGGGTCCCGGGGGGCGTGGGCAGGGACGTGAGGTCACGGAGAGGTGGGGACAGCTCACGTGGGCCCCGTAGGCCATGCCAATGAGTCTGTATTTTATTCGTCATGCGATTGACAGCCACGGGTGTGTTTTTACGCAGTGAATGGTGGGGCTGGACTGGAATCTGGGGAAGACCTTTCAGCCGCTCTGGAAAGGCTAGATTCCAGACGGACCCAAGGAAGAAGCAGGATCCCAGTTTCGACCTGCATCGCAGCGACCCAGCAGAGATGGCGAAAGCCGGGTCAGGGTGGCCACCGCCGTGGCGATGGGAGAAGCGGACACACCCGGGACACAGCTCAGAGGTGGCGCCAGCCCGACTGGACACTGGGGGAGGGATGACGAGAACAAGCAAGAGTAATGCCTGAGTCTGGGGCTCCTTCACCTCGGCCCGGTAGAGACCATGCCTGATGCGGGGGCCCCCGCCGCGGGCGGGGGCCAAACAGGGAAAGACCAGGTCCCGGCGGCAAAGGTGAGGTGCCTATGAAAAGTCTGGAATATTTATTAAACAACCAAGGAGCCAGGTCAAAAGGAAGCTAGATAAACTGCTCTGGAGATGGGTGGTGTGGACAGGGAGTTAAAAGCATGGAGATGATTTTTGGAGACCCAAACTCGAAGTAGGTAAGAAGCGTTGGTGGAGAAGAGGTGGGGAGAGGGTTGGGTCGGTCCCAGGGGAGCCGCTAATGGGGGAGGCCGAGGGATCCTGAAAGGGCGATGAAGAGGAGTAGCCAATGTTTAGGGGAAAAAACCCGTGAGTGCATTTACAGGAAGCAAAGGAACCCAGTTTATCAAGGGGGACCACCGTGTGGGAAGCCGCCACAAGGTCAAACAAAATAAGGACAGAATAGTGGTCACTGCATAGGGCAGGATGGAAGGTGCTGGCGACCTTGACCTGTGCAGTGTCAGTACCAAGGAGGGGGACAAAAAACCCGAAACGTTTATGGCTAGCGCGTGAGATTGGAATTTAACGGAAAACAGTTGGCATTGTGATGGCCGTGACCTTGCTCAGAGGAGAGAGAAAGACAGAGAGAGGGCAGTTGTAGGAGCCAGAAGGTGGGGGGCGGGGAGCAGCCACATACACTGTGAGAAACTAAGGCAGAGGAAATGGGTGCGGACGAAGGTGGGGACAGGGGCACTCCTGTCTGATGCTGTGCGGGTGGCCGTGGACTCCTGTGTCTCCGAGGCCAGGGTGCACAGCTGAACCCCACCGGACCAGTTTCTCCTCTCCAGGCTGCACCCCCCACCCCGGTTCAGCTACCCACTTAATCAGTGACTGCCCTTTGTGACCAAGTCAGATAAAAATGGCCAAGGATGCCGCAAGCAAGACAGCCACAAGTCAGGTACTGGTCCGGGCGCTCGAGAACAACCCCCCTCCAGACTCGCTGAGGGACTGGCTGCAGGGAGGCGGGGGGGGACAGGAAGGGCCTGCAGGGTGGTGTGCCTGGAGGGGTGGGTGACAGGAGGCCAGCCCAGCGGGGTGGGGCAGCAGGACCGAAGGGAAGGGTGAGGGGTGAAACCTCAGAGAGGACACAGGGGTGGGGCGGGGCGGGGGGGGGGTCGGGCAAACTGCGAGCCATTTTCAGGAAATGAGAGGTCTGTATGAACCACGGCAGGGTTTTGAGCAGAGGAATGCTGGGATCCGTTCACCAGGTTGGGGCCTGGCAGGAGACCGAGAACTGTGAAACTCAGGGGTCAGGGTGACACCCAAGTGCAAATGTCCGGGCCCTCTTGAGGGTGCTCCGCAGAGCCACCAGGGCGACCTCAAGCGCCCTAAATTTAAGGCGAATTCCATCCAGGCACTTCCCCGTTTGAAAACTGGGGTGCTTCCTGCTGTGGATGAGTCCGGATCCTGTAGTGAGAGGCACAGAGCGCCTCCCAGTCTGGCCCCGGCCTCCTTGTGCGGCCTCCCCGGCGGCCTCGCCCCACGTCCTCCCTCACGTGCCGTCCTGCTGCCTGGGCGCTGGGCTTTAAATACTAACGGCATCCCCGGTCCGCAGCGGGTCTAACCCTTCTGAGAAGTCTCCCTGCCCCCCACCCCCACCCCCAGGTCCCTTCCAGGCAGCACCGACCTCTTTCTTCCCAGGGCCAGGCTCTGTAGTGGACCGACCAGGGGCCTCAGAATCAGAATTAGTTTGGGGCGCCTGAGTCACTTCGTCAGCTGAGCGTCGAACTTCAGCTCAGGTCGCGATCTCTTGGTTCGTGGGTTCGAGCCCCGTGTCAGGCTCCAGGCTGACCGCTCGGAGCCTGGAGCCCGCTTCGGATTCCGTGTCTCCCTCTCTGTCTGCCCCTCCTCCACTCATGCTCTGGCTCTCTCTCTCTCTCTCTCTCTCTCTCTCTCTCTCAAAAACAAATAAACATTTAAAAAAAAAAAGAATCAGAATGAGTTAAAAGCTAAGCACTGGGCATGTTGTTTCAACTCAGCTTCTCACAAAGGTCGTGAGGCCTGTTTGATCGAATTCGTGTCAAGATTAAATAAGATAACATGAGTAACCAGGAAATAGAAGACCAGGCACACAGTAGGTCTTAAAACAGTGTTCCCCTGCAGACCTCAAGCCCCTGTGGGGCACATGATACGTTTATGTCCTATTTATATTACAGATGTCCCATCACTGGCTGGTCCCTGGCCCACAAAAGGCGCTTGATAGACGTTGACCTGAACGTCCTGCCCCTGCCTTCCAGAACCCTGTGTGCAGCAGCCGTGTCCAGAGTAAGACGGGGATTCTAAACTGGCCCGTGGGGCCCCTATCACAGCAGTCACTTCCCCTCAGCGGCAGGGAGCCCTTACTGTGCATCTCTAGGGAACATTCATCGATTGTCTCCACGAATATTTTCCTCATTGTTCTCTAGAACTTCTGTCACTGCCTGCCACCCTCACTGCCTGCTCAGCTGTCCTCCCACTGCTTGGCCTTGTTTGTTCTGTCTGCCTCCACCATTTTTCACCACCCGCCACATGGCTCTTCCTCACGGACCCCGAGCTCGGGATTCACCGCTGTCCACAGGCCTCACCAGGGCAACCGGGGCCCTCGGGGTGGCTAAACATCCCTCCAACTGGCACCCTGCCCTTGGCTCCCTGCGAGCCCAGCACTGCTCTGAACCTTCCAGAACATTCACGCTGCCAGCGACCTACAACCAGCCACGCGTGGGTCGAGCCAGTGGTGATCTTCCAAATACAGCGTGAGCGTGCGTGCTTAACTCTAGGGCGTTGGCAGATTTGTAGAGCGGGTCCGGAAGAAGGTATTTTGACCCATTTTTTTCAACCTCTTCTGGGATCAGATGAGGCAGCCCCCAGTGCGGAGGATGGAGCGCGGGCTCTGGAGTCCCACGGACACACATTTGGGTCCCACAGCCGCATCTCCTCGTGGTGTCTTACCTGCTCCGTAAGTTCTAACACCTCCGTTTCCTCATTTGTAAACTGAGGTCACAAGTGCCTATCCCACAGGGCTAGTACTCGGTGACATTTGTATCTGTCACCTGTGAGGGCATAATAAATCAGCCCCAAACTCAGTGGCTTAAGACAGCAACAGTTGTTCGTTAGCGCTCACGGGTTGTGTGGGTCAGGAATTTGAGAGTGGGCCAGCTGACCTAGAGTCTCTCGTGAGATTGCGGTCAGCTGCTGGCCTGAGCTGGGTTCCTTCCTCGCTCACACGCCAGGCACCAGCCGGGGCTGGGCCCCTCCGGGGTCACCGGCTTTCTTCCACGATGGATCAGGAGTCCCAAGGCACATGCCCTGAGAGGGAGAAAGAGGTATCAGCTCGACTAGCCTGGCCCCGACGGTCACACAGCATCACTTCCACCGCCTTCTAGTCGTGAGCAGCACATCACTACTGGGCACCTGGGTGGCTCAGTCGGTTGAGCCTCCGACTCTTGGTTGGTTCAGCTCGAGCCGCGATCTTCAGGTTGGTGATCTCGAGGCCCTGCCTGGGGCTCTACGCCGACAGCGCGGAGCCTGCTCGCGATTCTCCCTCTCCCTCTCCCTCTCTCTCTCCGCCCCTCCCCTGCTCGCGTGCTGTGTTTCTCTCTCTCAAAAATAAGTAAATGAACTTAAAGAGGCACACACCACCACCAATGCCAGCCCAGAATGAAGGGAAATGAATTAGACCCCTCCTTTTCGGGAAGGAGTGTCGAGAACTTGCCGACATGCTTCAGAAGCCCCATAGCACGTGGGATGCCCGCTCATCCGTGAGCAGTGGCACTGGTTTTTGGCCTGATAACTTAAAAACATAAAACCGAAGACTGTCTCTGCCCCACCCTTCTCGTCCTCACCCCACGAAGACATCCGTCCTGTGAGGAGGTAAAGTCACTTGTCCAGCGTGGCAAGAGTTAAAAGGAAGAATGAGAAGAAAATGCAGAAATAGAAATTGTCAACACGTATTCATTGCTGGTTCCACACCAAGCCCCGGGTTAGGTGTTTTATCGACATCATCTCTGTGAATCCTCAGAACGACCCCCTGAGTTTCCATCGTTGGCCTCTTCTATGATAAGGAGGAGAAGGCTACGGCCCACCGATGTTGCCAGGATTGTCCGGGGCCCCACGGCCGGTAAAGGCACAGCAGGGGCGGGGCCCAGCTCGACTGAGCCCCGGGCCTGCGTGTCCCACACTGTGCCCCCTGCCTAGACAGTGTCAGCTGAGATCAGCAGCCGAGAGGCTTTAGCTTAAGTGTTGCCTCCCCTGGTGGCTATCATTTGAGAAGTAAGGTATCTGAAGGATCAGGTGGAGTAGAACCCAAGAATTTAAGAGGTTCTTGGACCCAGGAGGAGAGAGGCCAGGCTGTTGCTGATGGAGAGAGAGAGGGCAGAGGCTATAGAGGCCCCGCACAGCCAGCCAGGGAGCAGGGGGCTGGTGCGGAGGGCCCGCGGAGGGTCCCTAACGAGAGTACCTCGCACCGCGCTGGGCCAGCTCAGCTACCTCAGCGGTGCCCCCAAACGCCTCTCACCAGGAGAAATTCAGGGGCTTCCCTACGTTTCCTCCGCGACGTGGAAACCACTCCCTGTGAGGACGGGCATCCTGAAAAATGTGCTGGGGTAGTTGAACAGGAAGAGGCCACCGAGGAGGAATGGAGATTCAGTCCTCCCGGCCAAGCCCTGGGGGACGGGCTAAGGAGACGGAGCTCATCCGGGCCACCAGAGCCTCGCCTGGCCGCGACCAGAGGCCCAGGCCCGAGAAGTCCTCGCACAGTCAAGATCCCGTGTCCTGGAGCAGCACCTCGCGTGGCCAGCCACCCTCCATCCACACCGCGCCCCCTCCGGCAGCTTCTACCTGGAGCTGGGCTCTGTTGCTGGGGCTCCAGGACCCTGCCCCGGGTGCTGCTCCCCATTCCTGCCATCTGAACTCTCTACGGCTCGGTGGCCCCCAGAGCACTTTCTCCTTCCTACTGCGGTATGGCCTTCAAAGCATCCCTCACTCAATCTCTTCAAAGTCAGCCATTCCGAACACGCGTGCCAGACTCGGCTCTCGGCACCAGGGATCCTGCAGGGGACAAGAGAGGCCAAGTCCCCGGCTTCCCTGAGCCGAGGTTCTGGGGGCCTTCACAAAATGAGGGTTCAGACTTGACCACAAAGGAACCTCCCGGGGTTGCGGGGGCGCACGCAGAAGAACCTACCCGTTTGCCCTCGTGCGTCAAATTGAAACGGCAGCCTGCCAGGGTGGATGACACGCGGTGGGCATGAGACACTGTCCCCGGTGTTGAGCAATGGCTTGGGGCAAGTCGCTTGGCTCTCAGCTGCGATGACTCAGGAGTCACCTCTGCAGCCTGGGAATTCACCTCCACAGACCTTATCTGAGGCAGGAATGTGGTCTGTGCTCGGCTGCTGTCCCCACCACCTGCCTGGGTTTTCCAGGCTGTGGAAGAGGGAAAGTTGCTACATCTCCCCAGAGTACTTCCTCCTGCTCGGACCTCCTCCACGTTTGCAACGATAACAACAACAATAAGCCCGTGAGCTGTCGCAAGTTCTGCCCACACACCTCCCTCGGGAGGTAGGTGTCCTACCTGCTGGCATCATGTGGGGCACCTTGTATTATTACCTCGTGTGGGACATTCTCAGGGTGGGGGGAGCTAGATAATGTAACCGGTTAAGTCGGTAAAATGGGGGCTGGACTGGAAGAAAAATATACTGGAGGAAAGCGAATGAGAATTTCGCGTGACTTCCACAGTTAAAGACGCAGGAAATCAAATAAATGGCAGCTGGCCGGCCGGCAGCTTTAGGAGATAATCTTACAGGAGATGTACTTTCCCTCTCCTCTCCTCGGCCCTACTCTGGGGGCTGGTGACAAAAGCTCTGATGTGAGGGGCGCCTGGGTGGCTCGGCGGGTTAAGCGTCCGACTTCGACTCAGTTCACGATCTCACGGCTCACGAGTTCGAGCCCAGGGCTCGGACAGCGCAGAGTCCACTTTGGATCCTTGTTCCCACTCCACCCCTCTTAGAAGCTCTGCTCTGAGACATATTCTCTGTGGGTGCCTTTGCTCCAGGAAGGGATACATGGGGGCCAAGGAGGCAGCTTCATTCAGCCACTCGTGGGCCTTCCTAACAGCAAACCCAGCCAGACGTGGCCCCGAGCGACAGGGACCAAGTATTTTCGCGCGCGGTAAGAGTTTCCAAAGCAGAGAAGTTCCAAGGTCACGTAAATGAGCAGCTTAAAAATGTCGCCACGGGCCCAGGTGCTCTCCATGTTCTCTCTCCACCATCCCCAGCTCGTAGGCATTTGTTCTCGTGCTGTTCAGATGGCCACCTCAGTTGCAAGCTTCGGATACTCAACTGGCACACGGACACGGAGGCATCCCCGTTAACAACAAGAAAAACTTACCTGGAGGGTTCCCCTACCCTAGCAGATGTCCCCGCTGGACAGAACTGTGGCGCAGAATTACAGGCAAAAGGACCAGAAGTACTGTGACCAGATTCTCCCACCGCCTGGGGTTAGGTAGGGACCTGTCCTCCCCTGAGAGAATGCCGACCCACCCCCGAAGCCAGTCTGTTCTGTCGGCAAGGCAGAATGTGGCTCGTGGCTGTCGGCAGGGAGGCACCCAGCAGTGCCAGTAACTCAGCACTCCCACCTTCCCTCAGCCCTGGCACGGATAACCCCGTGGGAAAAGGGAGATGATTAATTGGGGAAAAATAAATGTCAGCTGGTTGTCCATTTCCGACCCGAGTTTCATTACGTTCTGTTTCTAATCACGTCATTTCTGCAACGCTTCATCAGGCAGGTCCAGCAGACAGCTTTCCAAACCCCGCATGTTTTGTCAGCTTGGAAGAAAAGAACAAGCCAAGGTCAGCTGAAGCCTGACCTTTCCCTCCGAGCAGGTTATGGATGTGTCTACCTACTGAGGGCCTGTGTCATGTGTGTGTACCCAGAGTCATTTAGGAGAGGCGTCGGAAGCACAGTGCAGGAAAGCTGGGTCTCGTCACTCATCCCCTCTCTGGATGTGACACATCTCATTGCGCAGATAAATGACAAAAGAGCAGAGAGGCGCTTGACCGAGGTCAGAGAGCCAGTGGCAAAGACAAGATGGCAGCCTCCTGGGATGCCGTCCACCTGTCTGCACAAAACCTCGGGGCTCCAGCTCGGGCCCACCTGACCAAAGAGCCGTCTCGCAATTCAATCAATACCTACAAATAACCAGAGTCCCATGGATACCACAGACCACAAAAATAAGACGGGACAAGATGGGATGATGGGAACGAGGGGTCGGGAGTGAGTTTCCTGAAGCACCGGCCTTCCTCAAAACGGTGAGCATACCTCACCTTGGAGTTGAATAAAACTGGAGCGAGCTCATCTTCTGTGGCTTCTATGGATAAGTTGCGGGACCCTGGAGGCAGAAGTGAAAAGAGCAGTTAGCGATACAGTTAAAAATGGATAGGATGCTCGACTGTTCCTGGTTCGCACAGGCTCCGAGAACTTCCTTTTGGACGCTCTCTCCTTCTTCCTGTCAGACACGTTAAGATGTTCCCTTATCACACGTCAAAAACAACTGTACAACGTGGTAACAGTCGCATTGTGTTACAGTCGTACAGTCGACTAACTGGAGGAAACATTGTGTTTTAATTTACTTAAATATGAATGTTCTTTTTTCCATATTGCAGTTTTGAGTTTACCCGTGTCCCACATCTCAACCATTTTTTTTTTAAGTTTTTATTTATTTTTGAGGCAGAGAGAGACAGAGCATGAACGGGGAAGGGGCAGAGAGAGAGGGAGACACAGAATCAGAAGCAGGTTCCAGGCTCCGAGCCATCAGCCCAGAGCCCGACGCGGGGCTCGAACCCACAGACGGCGAGATCGTGACCTGAGCTGAAGTCGGACGCCCAACCGACTGAGCCAACCAGGCGCCCCCCGCATCTCAACCATTTTAAGAGACCCTTCGACAGCTCCAAGCCCAAGGCTCTATGCTGTCAGCAGTGCGTGGTTAGAGTGAGAATCTATAGATGTGTCGATCACCTAATTCCACACAGAGGGAGCCATGAGAGTTGGGTTGAGGAAGGGGACTATTACACCAGTCACCTACCTTAGCACCTCGTCTAATAGGACCAGGTCACATCCATGTAGTACTTTGTCCCTTTCCCAGATCTTCCATGGACCTTATTTCGTTTCATTCTCTTCAACAGCCCCGTATATAGACGCTAAATCTGTTTTAGTGATAAGGGAGCTTGGATTCAAAGAGGTGAACTTGTTTAATATCACATGACTAGTAAGGAATTGCTTACTATATCCTAAGGAATTACTTATTGGTAAGTAAGTAATTCAAAGGAATTACGGAATGGTCTTAACACCCCAATACCTGTGCACCTTGGACCATGACTTCACTTCCTTGTTGACAACCAGCTCCTGAGTTTTCTCCTTCCTGATGGGGAAGGGGAAGAATTAGACGGCCCCACTTGTCTTAGAAGCATGGGACCCTAGCTGCTCTTGGTGGAACGCCATTCTTTCCAATAAAATAGAGCCCATCAGAAAGATCTCAACTGTCGTTAACACGTTATTTCTCTTTGGTCTGATTTTCTCTATGGTGAGCACCAGAAGGGTTGGCATTGTAGGTGGTGTGGGAACCTGGAAGTAAGATCTGAGCCCTTTGGCCGACACCGCATTGGAGCGGGAAGCCTAAGGGAGAGAGGCTTCAGGTAGCCGCAGGTCTGCTACGCGATTAAGGGAGATCCCCAGCGTAAGCCAAAAAGCACCCTCTTCTGGGTGGCGTCGTCAACATGCCACGATGGGAATGGTTGGAAACACAACAAGTCAACACTTTGACCCGAGACCTGACCCCCCAGGAAGAAGGAAGCAGTTTGAGAGTGCTGATTAAGAGAGCATTTGAGGCAATCAACCTGTCTTGTGTCACGGCTGTGCTAACTCCTGAGAATTTAAGGCCTGTTGTCTGTGACCATGCCCTGGCACGAAACAAACGCCAGCACATGCCTGTGGAATGAAGCCCTAAATCACAGGGGAGGAAGGCAGGGCCTTCTCCCGTCCGTGAGTCCTGCCTCCAGATTCCACTATTACCCACTGATACTGGGAAAGTATTTGTGAGACAGCGGTATTCTGGAACATACCATTGGCTTGTTTTGTTTTCATGTTCTTTTTTTTTTTTTTTTAACTAAAGGCAAGGCCAAAGCCTTAGGGGCCTCACACAGGATGGCTGGGATCTTTCTGACGGGCTCTATTTTATTGGACAAAATGGCATTCCACCAGGAGGGCCTGGGGCCTCTTGCTTCCGGGATAAGTGGGATCACCTAGTCAGAGTGAGACATCACTGGCTGGAGTTCATTGGGTCCAACTTGCTCATTTGAACAGAATAAGATCAAATGTCTCTCTCAAGGTGACAGGCCCCGACTCCGAACTCTAATGCGCCCGCCTACAACCTCAGAAGCACCCAAGTTTTCTCTACACGGGCTTTGTGCGGCCTTGTTCTTCTTCCTCTTCCGCGGTTGGTATGACATTGGGGAAAGGCCTCCACCCCTACAAAGAAACTGAATGCTTGGGAAAGGACCATGACAGCCAGGGTCCCCGGCGTTTGCACAAGTGTGATGCCAACGATAGAAACATAGGATAGGCACGGACAGGCCATCCCCGTCGGCCGCTCTATTCCTGGGGTCCTGGAACAATCCCGTGGGGAGGAGAATCTCCATATTCTCGCTCACCTGTTTGCCTGGCCAAGCCTCGCTAACGGTTCACAAACTCTTCTGTGTCCTCAGCCCTTGGCCACTTTGCACGCAGTGTGCTATGTCAGACAAAGGCCAGCGGGGAGGGTATCCACATCGTGGCTGATTGTTAGAATGCGCTCTTTCTGCCATCCCCAATATCCTACTGTTTATTTTTTATTTTTTATTTTTAAAAATTTTTTTTTCTTTTTTCAACGTTTTTATTTATTTATGGGACAGACAGAGACAGAGCATGAACGGGGGAGGGGCAGAGAGAGAGGGAGACACAGAATCGGAAACAGGCTCCAGGCTCCGAGCCATCAGCCCGGAGCCTGACGCGGGGCTCGAACTCACGGACCGCGAGATCGTGACCTGGCTGAAGTCGGACGCTTAACCGACTGCGCCACCCCGGCGCCCCTATCCTACTGTTTAAAGTCCTTGAGGACAGGAAGCACTTCATACGCTTTTGTAGCCACCACGGCATCTTTCGTGGTGCTGGGCATGGAGTAGAAGCTCAGTGAATACGTGTTTACTTTGAGTCACTCTGGCTGAGCCTCCAGAGGCCGGTTCAATGGAAGATGAGTCATATCTGAAGGTTTCACAATTACTCCCATCAGAACTTCCTTTGAAAACATTCTTCAAGTTCTCCTTTGAAGGCCATTTGAATATATTAATAGTGCTAATCCTGAGATCCTAACTCCCACACCGGACACAGTAGAATTCAGAGCAGGCACCACTCTTTCAAAAGCTCCGAGGTTTCAGAGGAAACCAAATACTCGTCCCTTCTTCCTTTTCAAGGACACGGTCCTCCCTTCACCCTGGAAGTGATGGCACCAAGTTTCTGAGACGGGGAGGAGGAGTTGTCCCGATGCGTTGTCCCCCCTGTGACTTCTCACCTCACTTGGAATAAAATCCAAAACCTTTCCTACGCTCCTGCTCACTTCTCCAATCTTACTTCCTGTTTCTCTCCTTCCCCCACCCAGTCCCTGCCCCCCCACCTCCATAGTCCAGCCACAGGATTTATCTTAATTTCTTAAACACACGGGTCTCTTCGAAGAAGTCTCCCTGCCTGGAAAGTTTTTCCGGGACTGATTCCACAGCCCTCAGGTCTTGTTTTGAATGTGACCTCCTTCCTTGACCACGGAAATATAAGAAGCTTGCCCCTCACCCTCTGTCTCCTTTGTATTATCTACGTTTTATCCTTGAAGCACTTACTCGGATTTGTAATTGAGTATTTTGTTGCCTTCTTGGCCTCCCTCAGTAGCCTGGAAACCCCTGAGAACACAGGCCACGTTAATTTTGTTTCTGACTATGTCTCTAACGCCAGCACCGAGCTTGACTCCAGGGAGGACCTCAATAAACCCTTGTTGAATGAATGAATGAATAGTTTAAGAGAAATTTATCCCTTGCTCTCTGGCTTTCCGTCCTATTTTTTTTTCTTTTCTTTTCTTTTCTTTTTAACCTCAGATCCCTCCTGGATGCCAAGAATCATTTTTTTTTTTTTCCAATCAGGGGACTCTAAGACCTCGAGGGGTACAGATAACTTAGGTTGGGGGCGGGGGAGGGAGGGAATTAATTCCTATCAGCAGAATACGGTATGAAATGTACCATGAATGAAGAAAAATGTACAGACCACAGATCAGGAGTCAGGGGGAGCTCGAGAGCCCCATTTCTGGGGCAGAAATATGTCCTTACAACCTAAAGAAACTACTCATTTTAGAGCTACCCGGGTCTTAGTAGGTGACAGATCATAACTTCTATCGAGCGTAGGTCACGTGGGGAAACTGTGGGAAAACTGTTTCCTTCTCTACCCACAGAATACTTCTGTACTCCAAATGTATCGGGGCTTTTCCCCACAACCAAGCGATTCTCCAACAGCAGCTGGGTGTCCTACAACTGAACCCGATTCTGACACTATTTCCCTAGAGACAGCATCAGATCCCACAGGTGAAGACCTCATCCCCACAGAACTGCTCCCCCTGCAGATGCCGGTCTCGGGTCCCACGTTGTCCCTTGTACCCTGGCCAGCTATAAACCGGAGAGTCCCGTGACCCTCCCACCCCCGAGTCTGATCATTTGCTACAATGGCTGACAAGCGCTCAACACAAACAAACAAACAAACAAACAAAACAGTTTACGATGACTCATTACAAAGGGTATCGAAAAATGGCTTGCATCTTCTGAGATGTGTAAACTGAGCACCCAATTTACCCCTGCTTCCATTGTAGCTTTCCATGGGATCCAAATTCAGGTGTCCCGGAACCACACGTCCTCAACAGACCTCAGCTCAGCTCGGTGTGTGTGGACAGAAGAAAGCTGGTTCAGCACGGTTTTCCCCGAGTGCTCCATTTTCCATAGTACCAGGCACAACTATCTGCTGCACCATCACTGGGGCTCTGTGGTTCCCGGTGGTGCCAGGGGAATGTGCAGGCAATTTAACCTACTTGCTGTCCCATCGTTGGCTAGCGGTCTACTTGTGACTGAATCTCCCCTGCCTGAGAGCCTACTTCTCCCGTAGGCAGATTTATTGCAGATAAGACTGATAAGTAGCTAGATCCTTCGTTCGTGTCTCACACTAACCCTGTGATCTTGGGAAAGTTATCCTCTGGCTGGCTCCGTCTCCTCATCTGTAAAATGAGGATATTCGTATCTGCCTCACAGAGTGAACGATCATAGGTGAAGCACATAGAAATGCTTAATAATAATTAGTGCTCCAGAGAGGAGGATAGTTGATGTGGCCAATATTTCTGTACTGGTGTTTTAAAGTTAGCTCCTGGAAAAGCAGGAAATTGAACTCACGTTATTCCCGTGTCCCAGGGGCCAGGACTTGAACTCCCCTAGCAGGTACTGTCTGCACCGTCCAAATTCTGCTTTCTTGTCACCCCGTTGCTCGCTCTGACTTCCAGGGGGCAAATCACCCGCCACCAACTGAGCTGTGGTTTCTGCAATTACATCTCATTCACGGAGCACCTGGGTGGCTCGGTCAGTTAAGCGTCTGACTTCAGGCTCGGGGCGTGATCTCACGGTTTGTGAGTTCGAGCCCCGCGTCGGGCTCTGTGCCGACAGCTCGGAGCCTGGAGCCTGCTTCAGGTTGTGCGTCTCCCTCTCCCTGTCCTTCTCCACTCGCGCTCTGTCTCTCTCTGTGTCTCAAAAGTAAATAAACGTTAAAAAAAAAAAGAATAAGATCTCTCATTCGCTTTTGCATGCCCCACACCATCTGGCTCAGGTTAGGTGCTTGGCAAATCTTCACGGCTTAAACTACGGCATCTTTTAATCCTGATAACAAGGAAATGGTACGGGTGTGTGTAGGAGTATCTGGAATGCGTGCATTTACACACCAGCGATGCCATCATTTAGCAGAGGGAGGAGATGTCAAATTAGCAGAGCACTAAGACTGGGGCTGACAGGCAAGAAGGCGCTAGACGTGCTTGCCCACGGGCTGGACTATATACCAGACTGTATGCTCCTTGGGGACAAAGACCGAGTTTCGTTCTTTCTCCGGCGCCTCGCATGGTGCCTGATGGGTCCCATGCGCTCGATAAATGTCAGTTAAGTGGTGAATTCACTCACGTTTGAAATTCCAACTTGGGAAGCTCCCACTGCTTTCTAGTGTTGGATATAGTCTTATCAGCACGCCCCTGCCCCGGCATACAGAGCTCCTGCCCCCCTCCGTTCCCACCACCAGGTACTCTCCACCCCAGGGCTAGATCCTCACCTCGGTTCTGACTTGGCAAGATGAGGGTCACACCTGGAAATCATGTCTGTGCCAAAATAACCACAAACAGTTAACACGTGGCTGGCATCTCTCTTCCTGGTGTGCGGGAAGTACCTCTGCCTCCTGTCAGATGTGAGAAAACCCTTCTCTGCTACGCCTTGGACGTACTCTCTTTTTGAACCAGCTCAACCTCAGGAAATAGTTTTCCCACCGGTGCCAACTCTTTGGCGAGGATTAGCAGAGGATTACGAATCTGCCAGGACCACCAGTCAAACACGGCTGCTTCCCTTCCCATCTTTTGGTTTTGACTTACCCGGCCAACGTCAACTTCCCCTTTCCAAACAAAGGCTATGTAAGATGCTCTGGACAGCGAAGGATAGAGAATCTAACCACCGGGGCCCACCCGATAAGGATGTTTATTACTTTGCATCATGTCCAGTTTGGAGGTAGGACAGTTTCGGAGCGGGGTCGTTCACCGACATAGGAACGTCGTGCATCTAGCTTAACAATTCTGCAGCTTTCTCCCCCAGTCCCCAGATCTGCTGTAGGTCAGGCCTCACGTGCCAGAAACCACCTTCAGAAAGAGAAAAAGAGAAGGCCCC